TATATATATATATATATATATATATATATATATACTCTATCTGTAAACAAATAAAAATAACTGTGCTGCCCGTGTAATAAACCACGTATATTACTCTACGTGAAGAACATATGTAGCAATTTATAACTTTGTTAAATTGGGAAATCTGCTTATAAGAGAGCAATCTTTTTAATACAAAGGTTTTATTCTTCACTGACCCCTGTAGAAATATTTCAAAAAATATTAATGGACGACTACATTGGGTTCACGTAGTGTTTATAGTTATTCGGCATTCTTAAATTAGCATGTTCTTCCACTCGTGACAGCAGTTTTCTGTCAGTGGGACAGACGTAGCCTTGCTTACATTAAGCTAGATAAATTGATATACTTCATTTATGTTTTCAATGGCTAAATACAATATTTATATCTGAAGAAATATTGTAGGTGACATCCTGGTTTAAAAATACATCTCAATTGTACTTGCAGATAAATTCGACAAGGATGAGAATGGTTATTTTTGTTGTTTTTAAAAGATGATAAAAACTGAACATTTAGGAAGTTCGTGTGTTGATGTTTAGTGAATTTCCGTTTGCAAATATTCAAGAATTATTCTATCAATTAAATAGATAGGAAAACGTTACTACACACGAATTTCTTTATGTTACTAAGCTCTTTATGCAAAAATTCATAGGTGTTTCAGGTTTTTGGCAAGATAATCTAAAATCTTAACCAAGCTTTTCTTAAACAACGTTCGTATGTAACTGTAAAATTAAAATATAAACAATTATTTATATTTTATTGTAAGCTTCACATTCATAGTTGCCACTATAACTATGAACTAATATATCGAAAATTACAAGCTAATAGTCTTGCTGATGTTCAACAGTAAATTTAATAGTTTCATACTTGCTATGTAAATTATCCAAAACAGAGAAACAATCTGGGTCCGGGAAAACAATAAAAGTGACCTCAATATATCTTTAAGTTTTTGTTTTTACACAAACCCACACAATGGGCTATCTGTGCTATGTTCACTGAGGGCAATCGAGCCCCATATTTTAACTTTTTACTGATCCATTGGGAGACACATACATTCGATAATTGTTTCAAAAGCTGTGGACAATCCTCCAATCACTACTTTTCATAAAACAAAGTAAAAACTCAGCTAGAGAAGAAGATAATTTGGAACTCGTAGCTACACCATAAATCTGATCACAAAGATTACCATTAAACATAAAATAACATTCCTTAGTTGTAAAATTCATTCATTTCAAAAACAGATTTTGAAATACATCACACTTGAATTGTCATTAAAAATCAAGTCTGCACTTAATTGTATTACTTCTTCCAAAGGGATGTTAATATATACAAGAACTCAATGTCAGAGCTAGCACAATAAACCTTATTAACAAAGTTTAGCTTTCGTATTTAATTAGAAAATTCAAAATTGTCTTTTACAGGAGATTCGTTAGTAGCATAATCCTTCAAAAATCAAATGAAATGCAAAGTGCAAACCAATTAAAGAAGCAAGTAAACAACCAGTAAAATAATTTGTGCACGTATAAGGGACAGAGCAAAAAAGGAATAGAGAGGAGGAGGAGGTAATTATGAGATGTTGTTTTTTTTTGCTTAGTTATAATGGTGTAACAACTCTTTCGCTGTAAAGAAGCGGAAGGAGTACACCATTAAGTAAGGAGATTCTTAATTAAGACTGATAGAATTATCCATTAAGACACGTGTACAATCACTGCTCTATCTAAGCTCGAAGCTCTGATTTATTAATCAAATCAATACTTGAATGTGTGTGGGGGGACTGCGAAAGTTCTTCATTCGTTACGGTCTCTAGTGGCTCATTCAACTCTCATAAAATACACTCGCGAATTTCCATTTCAATTTGTTCTCAAGCACTTCCATTAAATTAAGGTCGTTTAATGCAGACATTATAGAAACAAGCCGTGTTACCGAGCTGAAGAACATTACAAATAAACTTTTCACCTTAGAAATAGTATTTGGTGACTAGTTTTGGGCCTAAACCCGTCCTTAGTAGTTCAACATAAAACTTAAACAAATAATTTGAATTACTGATTTAATTTGATAAGAAGAATCTTCATTAAATACATACATTTTTACCATATTTTTTTTAAACTTAACGATTAAAGTAAGAACGTTACGAGGACGTTACAATACAAATGAAAATTGTTCAGACATGTGGAAAAAACAATATTTCTAAAATTATTGTAACAAGCCATATAACAAATTTTACGGTTGAAACTGATAAAACAGCAAAAACCATTTCTCCTAAATATCTTCATCAAATACAAACCAAAATGCAACATAAAAATGCTTGATTTTGAACTTAATCTTTAAACTATGGTTCGCTCGACTAAACGAAATTTTTCGTTCCATAATTTTTTTCCACAGTTCGCTCTGTTACATATTATAATTTCAAATGGTCTGTAACGGAGTTAAATGATACTTCAAATTTAGTAGTTGAATTGTACTTTAGATTTAGCAGTTAAGTAAAAGCCGATATATAGTCAGTTTATGATGTTTGCCAACAAGATTGATACGTAGTTTTCTTTTTTTAACACAAATACATTTTTATATACACACAACAGTACAATTTACAATAACAATTATTACAAATAGTTATTACAAACAATGATTTATAAACAAAAATTTCACAAACTTACAAACAACATAAAGTCTTCTTTCTAGTCTGGAACTTCCTTGATATCTTGTAGAAGGTTCACAATGAGCAAGTTAATTACGAGTTGATGTAGGTACGATTTGCTTAACAGGGAGCTAGCTAGCCCTGTAGTCTTCACTGTTCATACGCCTATTAGAGATCGAGTTTCCACCGATGACATTAGGTAATGTTTTCGTAAAAATATTAATGTCTGAGGAGAATCCACTGAAGTTAAATTATTTGTAATGTTCGAACTTTGTAAATGCTCCTGGTCAAATATCTGAAGTTTTTCGATTGATGAGCGTTATAATAATCAGCTATAGCTTCCGAAATTTATAGTACACTGACTATAGCAAACCAATAATAGATACTCCCCTTTGACGCGGCGCGTTGGTTATATTTATAGGAGTGTGGAGATTTTCTAGAAATTTCAGATCACGTAACAATACAAATTTAAGCGTTTACGTACACACATATATTGTTGATTCTTACTCTGGAGAATCTTCTACAACTTTGGAGAATAGGCAGGAGTTTCGCAATACATATTTAACTGTGTAGGCTATGCGTGTTTCTAAGTATAAATTTAATCTAAACAAACGCCGATATTAAAATAAATATATATAATGACAAATTCGTTACAGCTCTGACTAAACATGCGGTAAAAACGCCCAAACTGGGCAAAATAAGATTTTAACCACCTACGTGTAACACTTTTTTTAAGTCTACACTATTGTAAACAACCAAACAGACTGACTTGCTCTGATTGTGATTGTCTCAGTTATAAGAAAATTTCCCTCTCCTTTACTATCACAGTTACATACACACACGCACTAGTCACACAACGTAATAAGGTAGAGCGTTGTTTAATACGTACTGCAATTCTAAGGTATTTTTCGAATTAAAAGTTAAAATTACACACAAATCACTAGTTCCTACACACTCAACGCTTATTACGGTTGAGATTTTAAGATATTATTTCTCATGAATACACCGGCATTTTGGTTTATTGTTAAAATCAGTATTCAAGGTTGAATATGTTTCATACTAAACATCGTACACAGAGAGAGATTACTTAAGCTTAATTCAGTTGGATAATCCTTCTCTTTCTAACATCCCTGCATTCTACTAAGAAACTTTAAAAAAAACCTTACACTTTGGAACTTATAATAATAATAATAATAATGCGAAAAAATTTTTTTATAAAAATACTGTGTGCACGCAAGCTTTTTAGTTCAGAGCATACAAAATTGTCAGTATGACCACCAGGCACTTCTTGCTATTTCTGTTTATTATCGGTCTCCAAGCTGATAAAAAAAACCTCAAAACATCTGATTTCACGGTAATGGGAAACCATACTGATACTTAGTTGAGTGAGTACTTTTTACAAACCAGTACCTGCGTTAAACAAGTCTTGTTAACGTTGACCTACCAATCACTGCATTCTAGTGTGTATGTGTACTACACACAAAGCAACCAAGTTTACGTTTCAGTTATGAAGTTGGAAAATTATTATTTTGTTTAATCCAAAAATAATTCAGTAGCTAATTCAGTACTTCGTTGCTCAAACAATGTAAAATAAAATTATACCAAACACAAACATTTAACTTAAAACTAACAGTAGTTATGTTTTTTAATCTTTAAATGTTTTTAATGGCTCTGATTTACCAACGATTTACATTATTTTTCAGTATCCAAAGATCTAAGGCGGGTTAAAACGTACTCAGGCCATAATTTGTTAAAACAAACTGCTGAAAGTAAAGTACAAACAGCTGATTTATAAACTGTATAAGCATGTGCTATAAATATTCAATTGCTAACACCACTGCAAAACAAAACCTCATTTATTAAATAATTTATATTAAAATGCAACACAGTTTTTGTTTTTTATAAAAACTCTTCATTCCTTCCAAGTTCTAAATTTTAGAATAATTGCTCTTCCTTGGAAATTCCAGAAACTTTCAAGCATAAACGTTTTTTTTTGTTTGTTTTTGTGAGTTAAAACTTTGATTCTCATAGTTGAATATTTGACAGTTATCTCTCCCCTCAATGGCCAACAGGGTTATACAAGGAGTCATTTATAAATCCATATCCATCAGGCCAACATCTCTGTTATCCTAAAATTAATGGCCAGAAATTAGTTTGATTTATTTCTTTATTTATTTGATTGATTTCGTAACTACATAATTACCAACTGACAATGAATAAATTAATTTGTGAAAGTTGTTTAATTTATGCATGATAACAAAGTAACTACTTTGTTATGATGATTTCATAAATTGATATATAAAGAAAAAAAACTAAAACAAATAGACTTGTAGAAAGTCAATTAAAATATTATGCAAAAATTTGAGGTAAAATGCAAAACTGCCAGAAATTCTTACACTTTACTACATTTTTGTCAAAAACAATCATTTATGTATGGTACAAATGTCACTGAAATAAATACATCTTGTTGATACACTAATGAGCCTTTTATGATGTTAAAATATATGTAACTGATAGAAAACTTTAATAAAATAAAAACAAAAGCTCTTAAAATTGTACACAATTCTACAAAAGAACATACTGAAATGTAAAATTTATTGTGATGACTTATAACCATATCTTTAACAGGTTCTGATATACTAAAACTGAAAATGTCTTATGTTTACCTATATTCTACAACAAAGTTACATAATCAAATAAAAATTTTAACATAAAAGATATTTTTTCTTATCAGCTAAAAAATAACATATTAGAACAGCTGAGAACTGCAACTTGCAATGAGAGCATACATAGGAATGTGCATGAATAAATTTCCCACTAACTGTCTCCCACATTTAAAAACATATAAAGCTAAGCTCCTTTGGATGACATCTGAGATCATGAGAATTGATAAAGCTTGAAGTTACAGTTAGCCAGTATGAGAAAACATGTTTCATATTTTAATTTATACCATTTCAAGTTGAAGCAAAGCTAAATATATTTAAGTCTGGAGAGCCACAAGCATTCACTTGCTCTGAAAGAATATGTACATGTATATTTAAACAAAAACTACACCAAAAAAAAAGTTGTGTTGACTTTTAATTAATTCTGCAACAAACTTTGTATAGTCAGAAGGAAAACTTGTGATGAACTACATTTATAATCATTCCAACCATGATATAACAAAAACAATAATTCTGGTTTATCTAAAACCATTAATTCTATATAATTCTGATATAAGACAAAAAACTTTACTTGTTAACCCATAATTCAATGTGCAAAAAATACTGATGTAACAAAACTAAAAAGGGAAAATTTGATTTTTTAATCTGCAACCAATTATACACTTTTAACTAATAGAAACATTTTTTGTTCACCTGTAACTAAAAATGGTGCCTTTATCAGTGAGAGCAATTGATGTGAAACAGACTCCATCAGTTTCGCATGTGTTGTTCATCTCCTTTTTGCAACTATCACAGTGGCATTTCAAGGCTAGAAAAGAAAAAAAATATGATAGAGTTAATTCACTGTTCAAACACTATGATACAATATTTTCATGAAGAAAATACCTCTTACTCTGTGTGTGATTACTAATTATTACAATATGATAGCTGTTAATCTAATAACCAGGAATATTTTTGGAAGAATGTGTTTTGGAAAGGTTACTATTCTGCCCTAAATATTTCAAGTCCTAACTGTGTGTACATGATTCAGAGCACAAAACTTTAATATCACTATCCTGATATGTTTGTATGTCCCTTATTTTATTTTATATATTTATTGTTTTTGAAGTGATTACACTTGTTAATTGGTTTCAGGTAAAAAGTGATTTCTCCATTACTCATTTGAAATAAAAGTAGGTTCATCTAAAAATGTCAGCATATTAGAATATTAGGAAACTAAATGTAAAAAAAACAAAACTCAAAACTGGAATATCAAGATATCAAATATAAAAAAAAATTATACTCATTTTTTATTGATATCAAACTGGACTTTTGTATGAACTGATATGAAGGAGGAGAAAAGTTGGTTGAACAGAATGTCTAAAATCATACTTCTCACCAACTGTTTTATATGAACCCTATACAATTTAATTCAATTTATACCAGTTGGTTTCATTATTTCTATTTAAAATATAAAGAAACATAACTGGATTACTATATACTTCTGCTAAAAAGGCACCTGGACATCTTGTTATGGCTTTAGCCCAGTTTTAAAAGAAAAATAGATACAGTTTAAACTTTGTTTTATTCCTTTCCAATTATCATACCTTATGTATGAATTTGAACATTGACAGTATCTGAAACTGTGCAAGCTGTTAACAAGTTAAAATATCAAAAGGTTGGCACTGTTTCCATTTTTAAAACAAACAATTCTTAATCTGACTTTGGGGATCAACACATTCAGTTTCCATTCAGGTATGTGTTAGCCTTTTAGTTCCACTAACCAAATGTATTTAATATAAAAACATATGAATTTTTAAGCTTATCTTAAAGTGAGAAGTTTATGTTTTTCTTAAGAGTTTAAAATTTCATCAGTTCAAAACAAGTTTCACCATCTCCTCTGTACTTCTAAGCCATTCTAGATGTCTTGTAGAAAGCATGCAGATGAGAGGATCTACTTTGAACACGACAGCCTTAAGATGAATCCTTTTGCAATAAAAACTATGCTGCATGGCTATTACCAAGACACAGTTGCCAGGTAATGCATGATTGGATGTGGCAACATTGAATGTAATTATATGGTGAGGATCTAAAATCCTTTTAACATAACATACTGAACCTCTTTATCTGACATTGATAAACTTTGTTAGCTTTTAGCTGAACAAAGACTATTGTTCTGTGTAAGATTAAATAATTGTTTACTTATCTTGATGCCATTTTTAAAACTTGGCAAACTACGAGATTCAACTGAGAAAAGGCCTGTTATGGTAAAATTTCAGCAGGATTCATCCATTACCAGAAGTATTTGGTCAGGAATGGTTTAATAAAGCTGCTCTACTTAACTCAGAAACTCGGTGTTAATACTACCATCTACAGAAAATTATGTAAACATTTTACAGGTAAAAATAGAATGTAAATTAATTGTTTGGACACTACAGTGATGATTGGCTCAGTAGCAAATACCATATTGTTGTAAGCTATATTTTTAATATTCTTAGATATTTTTTAGTTACTAAGGGTTGGATCATCAAGAATAACTCAAACAAATTTATAAATTAGATAATTTACAAAGGAAATTTATCAAACAAGATCCTTACATGATGCCAAGAATAAACACATCACAGTTGAGTCCTCAGTGGATGTTACTTGTAATTAAGATAAATGTAGTCTCCAAGAGGAATTTCCAATTGTATATAATAACATCAGAAGTTTAAGTAAATCCTTTTGTATCTTTGTATTATAATTTTACAAATATATTTTCAGAGTTGGATAAAAAATACAAAATAAAAAAGGACCTGCCAACATCTTAACTCCATTTCTAAAAATAGGCAAATATACATAATGAACATGCAAGTGATAGACAATCTCATTCCCAAGTTTTGAGTGTGTAAATATATAAGGGAGAGCCAGTCACACCTGCAATGCTTCCGTTGTTTGTAACAGACTTTACAAGAGAAAGCAGTAATGGCTCACTCTGCAGGTGCATCTGTGATGAAAGCAACATAGATTGGTAAAGTATCTCTACAGTGACGAGTATGGGCAACTACAACTAGCAAGTTAAATGGATTACAATACTGACACAAACACTGCCATGCATTAATGGGTTCATAGGATGTCGGTATGGCAATGAGCTTCACAATGATGCAAATTAAGGCACACAGATTTGATGGCCATTTGGCCTGCTCAACTGTCAGATTTTATTTCCATTGCATTATTTAAGGTATCTTGATACTGTTTTCCTATAAAAACATCTTTAAAAACATTTGTAGGTTATTTTGTATGTGCATGTGTGGAATGGTATAATGCTGTGTGTGTGTATATATATATATATACACACACACACATATACCAGAATTCACAGACATAATTTATTGGGAGGGGAGAGGATGGTAATGTCCCACCCACTTTTTTGAAGTGTGGCAGCTAAAAAAGAAGAAGCATGAGTCGTCCATCTAGAGAGCTAAATGTGGTTTTGAAATATTGGTATAGTTAGATAAATTATGTCCATGACTTCACCGCTGTAAATCTTAAATAATATTTGTGTGGACAAGAGGATCTAACTGTAAAAAGTGTTTGTCTGCATTGTTAGTGTAAAACAATGAATTAAGAACATTTTTCAAAACTGATTAGAAAACTCACTGTTGGAGCTAAATTACTTTTTTTAAAAGAAATATTTGTATTCTTATTTTTTAAGACAACAGTGCCATTTAGCCTTAGTTTTTACTCTTGTTTTGGTTATGAATTTGTTGTCATGCAATTCAGTGTGGATATAGCTTGTTTACAATCATGAAGCAAATACTTTGATGATCATTAAGGCATTAAAGGAATAAAATCATACTATTATAAAGATATAAATTCAGGATGTAATTGTTTGATATTGTTGTACAAAGGAAAGATTTCCATGTATGTGACTACTGTGGTTGTAAGGAAGTACATTTACAATTCTTTTTAGAACTTTGGAAAGTCTTATGCCTGGAATTATTTATACATGATCTCAACAAAGTGGAATGAATATGTGAAGCACAATAACAGGATGAATCAAAGTGTAAATGAAACTAAGAACTCTGACAAGTTAAGAACTTAAGGAATTGGTGAAATTGTTTAGTACTAAGACTGAACAGTTATCAAGTTATGTAAGAGTTAGCAAAGTAACAGTATATGTTTGTTTTCAATTTTGGAGAGTTAGGAACTCATTTAACTAGCTGTTTAGTGAAAGAAAAGGTAGTACATTAATATCCCCCAAAAGGATCCTTTATTTATTTGACTTTTTTCCATTTCTGTATAAAAAGTGTAGGTTTAGATGGCAATGTATTTTAGCTGCATTTATAATTTACTTGATATAATTGAATATACTTCTTTCCCTTTACTAAATCTTAAGGAGATTCAGTATGTAAAAGGTGGTTAATATTTATAAGTTACAGATTATGAAAGCAGAAATATACAAGTACATGGTTATATTATATACGTGTGTGTGTGTATATGTGTATATATATATATATATATATATATATATA